CCCTACACAGGTAAGCAGTAAGCTTACCAGCACACACACTCACTCACTATGGCTAGAGGTAGAAGAAGGGGTGAGCACAGGCACACAGCACAAGCATCAGCGTTGGTCAGAGCTCTGCTCTTTTGGTTTGTGGCAATTGAACTGTCTGTTTTCATTGCACAGAGGTAGAGTATATACAACTCATGTACCAACTATGAGGTACACATGAGCATGGTTGTGTACAGCCCCAACTACTCCTAGTACTAGCAGTACAATTCCTACCTTAGCCCACTATCAAGACATGGCTGATGTATTAGCTACCAACTAATGTACAAGTGGTGGCCTATTGCCCTACTACTACAGCAACTAGGACAGCAGAGAATGACCTATTGCCAAATCTGTTGTGTAGCAAACAAAGAGTGAGAGGTCAGCAACAGATTATTTCTTACAGCTAACAGTATCTTAGCCACAGATAACTGTTCTGTGAAAGATAAATATGTATTTGCAATGTATTCATCATTTGTTTAATATTTCCCTTTGATGACATGAGGTGGCCATGCACCATTTTGTTTGATTGAAGGGGTAACTATGCTGCATATATTCATATTTATGTGTGCTTGACACAAGGCATACACATTTTGTGCCACTCATGTACAGTTGGGAGGTGGAAGAGGAACAACTGAAAGCTTAGGTACATTAAAAGTTGTTTATGTCATAGCTCTTACACCAATGTTTGTTTGTGACGCTACTTTAGTCAGGGGTGGATATGGGCCTAGGGCCACTAGGGCCGTGGCCCAGAAACTCCATATATCCCTCTGAAATTTTTATGGCGTCGACGCAATAGCAAAGGGAAAAGGCCCATACCTCCTTCGTTTTCCTCGTCTCAGCAGTCGGCCTGCTCTGCGTCAACCCTGTGTTCTCGTTGCCTCCCTTAGTTTCCTTCACAGTAGTTCGTGACCCACCCACTTCCCAATCACCATCGCGAAATCGACAAACCCTAGCGACCGCCGCGACAGCACGTAGGCACCTAGACCCTCCCTAATCAACGATTCCCCACCCGGCCACCAAGTGCATCCTTGCTCGACGCCAAATTCCACCTACATTCTTGGGAGGCACGACCGTTGGCCAACGACCCAGCGTCACGGCATGAGGCGTGGGCGATTGGCGGCAGATGGCTGCAGCAGGGCTCGCCGGCTCGGAGCTATGGCGGGCACACTGCAGTGGCGCGTTGCCGACAACCTAGTACACCTCACACGGCAGTAGCGAGGCTGGCTAATTTTAATGTTGTGTGCATTCGATAAGGCAACTAGAGAAGATAAATTCCCGATTTCCCATCCCAAGTTGTATTTTAATGTTGAATTTCCCAATTCAGACATTCTCATGCCAGTTCCCATATATGAATGAATGAGATGTTTTTTAACAATAAACTAGGACTGTTATTATTCAATATTTTTGGGTATTTCTCCCATTACTCAAGATCTGCAATGGGAGTTTATTAATTATATGGTGTGGATTCAAGCGTATGAATGAAATATCATCTAAAATCATGCATTTATGGATTAGTTTTATGACAACATCGGTATTTGACCCAATATAGACATCTTACGTACTTAGTGGCTGGCCCTAGGCATGAAAATTGACCAGCTCTGCCACTGACTTTAGTTATATGTTCTAAGCATAATTTGAACAAATGGTGGAAGAAATTGGGGGATTCTACCTTATTTTAAGTTGGATCCACTTCCTCTTCTTTTGCCTTTTTTTTAACGGAAACATACGCTTCCATTAACAACTGGCTCCAAGCTTGTTGCTAGAGGCCAAGTGTTCTACACAGTTCGGTGTCTGGCTCACGAACTCTTGTGAGTCAGGGATTAAATTCCAACTTCTATGCCACTGCTATCCTTGGTGCCAGGAAGACCAAGATAAGGAAGATGCAGTATATTGACTGGGATGAGATACAGAAAAAGGAGGAGCCTGAGTTTGACAAGGTGATCAAGGTCTGTGACCGCTTTGAGCTCTCCGATATCATAGGTTTCTAGTATAACTGGAATGAAGAGGTACTTGCATAGTTCCACGCCACCTACTTCTATGATCAGTCCACTGATGAGATACATTGGATGATAGATGGTCGACACTACCGTGTTGATTTTGTCACCTTCAGTCGGATTCTGGATTTTGGGGAAGAGCATCGGACTTACACTCATATTCATGATGAGCCCAGAGCAGAGATCCGTGACATCCGATACATGTGGAGAGACAGTAGAGCTGCTGATGACAAAAGGAGTGGGCTACATAGTTACTATTACATCCTAAACAACCTCATCAGGAACACTATCAATCCCAAGGATGGAGCAGCCTCGGACATAAATGGATATGTGAGGAACGTGCTAGCTCGCTTTGCTCCAGGAGAGGATAAGTTCAATATCCCTCAGTTTATTTGGCATGAGCTGAGGCTTGTTATGGAGGATGGGAGGAAGGGGCTGCCCTATGCTCCTTACCTCATGTTCTTGATTGAGAGGGTCTTAGGGATTAGCTTTCCAAAAGACGGGATGCACACCGTCTACAAGATTGAGAAGATCCAGCCTGCAGCAGCTAGCCAGGTTGCGGGAGGCTCCCATGCTCATGAGGACATTTCCGAGTCCTCGCTCTAGGTCTCGCAAGGACAACAAGATGAAGAAATTTGGAAAGTGGCTCAAGGCAATATTTAGCAAGTGTACCTATGCAGCTGAGCGAGCCTATGAGACACAGCTAGAGCAGCGTGGAGATCACCTTCCACCACTTCCTCCACCACCACCCCCTACACAGTACGACCTTCCTAGTCTTTCAGACACAGACTCAGATGATGACGATGAGGAGCAGCAGGGACGTGACGCGGGCTGGCAGGAGACCCTTGTTGAGTACTCTCAGAGACAGGGGGTGAGACGTTCCAGCCACTTCACCATCACCACTCACCGACAGGGTTGTGCCCGTATTGACTTCGACGACGAGGATGATGATGGCGACGCCGGGACTGCTGCAGAAGGTAGCAGGGCTGCTGGAGGTGATGATGTTGATTGGGAGGGCATCCAACAAGAGGAGTGAGTTTGTTGGTCTTTCTTCTTTTCTTCTTTTTTGATGCTTTATGCCAAAGGGGAAGAAAATTAGAGGGACCAACAACTTTTGGCGCCATGTGTTCGCAACTGGAGCTTCATGTCATATCCGTTGAGAGTAGTCTTCGTTAGGTGAAGAGTTTGAGAGTCGCTCAAAACTCTAATTTGTGTAATAATGCTACCTATTTGACTCTATTTGTATCGGATATGGACATGTATCTTTTGTGTGCTTAGCTGTCATCATAATTGTGCTAGATTGTTTATCTTTTCAATCATAATTTGCTGTGTGGTGCTTGATTAACTTGTGTTGTTGCAGTAAGTTCGGCAATACCGCACTCCCAGTGCGGCAGTGCTGCACCTTGCTGCTGCAGCAAACTTTGCTATGCATGAAATGTCATTTGCTTCACGATTTTATCTGACACAGTGTGCAGCACCCCACAGGAGGCATGGAAGTAGGGGGAACCCCAGCACCTTAACTAAAAATATGAATTTTGGCCTCTAAATGTCAAAATGAGAATTCAAATCCTCATTCAAATATTTAGGGGGAGGCTCTATACCCATGGCTCGAAAATCTCAGTATTTATTTCATAACTTTTGTAACATCTAATTGGGTTGTCATCAATCACCAAAAATGGGAGATTAAAAGTGCAATCAAGCTCTAATTGTAGGTTTTGGTGATAATGACCACACAATTAGAGAACTAATGAGATTTATCGAGATGACAAGCAGAGAATTCATATTTGAGGATGCTACACGAAACGGAAGAGCCTCCAATTACAAATGTAGATGGCTTTAAACTCAAAGGAGGTTTAAATTATTTTATATTTTGAATTTGAGTATAGAAAAAGCCGTACTATAAATGGAGACACAATGCTTAAGCTAATATGTGCTTCTAAGTGCTCAAACATACACATGCATCCTCAGATTCACAGCCAAGATAGTCTACACTTTACTCTTACCCTTGCTGTCTTATGTGGTGCGGCACTGCCGCACTTGAAGAGAGGCACTGCCGCAACTTAAGTGACCGTTGGGGCTGAGGGGGTATTTATACCCATCCTCTTCCTCCTCAACGTCTCTCTTCTGGCTCCTGCTCATTCCAGTTCGTCCAAAACAGAAAATGAGCTCTCTCTCTCTCTCTCCCTCCATCGTTGACCTCAAACCCCCAAGCAAATCCATTGATTTTCCCATTAATCCTTGAGGAAAAAGGGTCCAAATTTCGATTAGAGAGCAGCTCCATTAATTCCCTAACTCGAAAGAGTGCTTGGTTCACGTTTTGGCCGGCGGTTATGTTTGTTACTCTTAGAGCTTGGCTCCTCGACAAAAGCGTCGTCTATGGGGCTTGCCAACTTGTTTGGCAGCGTCGGGAGGTTTGTAACCATTTCTTGAAGCTAGTAAACTCATCCCTCATCTCAAGAGTTAAGTCTCTTGACTTAAGAACAAGAAAGGGTTGGAAAGCCCTAAACCTTAGTGGCTAACCTCAACAACGTGGAGGTAGGAGCCTTAGTGGCGAGTCGAATCACAGGATAAATCATTGTGTCATTTGTGCTTGATTTACATTACTTGCATGATATATTGTGGTTGAGGTGATTTCTAGAGTTTCTAGTCGATCTACTTGTGTGTGGTGTTCCTCATACTTTTAGCTCTTGATCTGTAATTGTCATACCTGCAGTAAGCTGGAAAATTTCTCGGATCTAAGTTTTCGTTCACGGATTTTGAACTGTGACTCGAAGTTGTCTGCAGGTGCGGCAGTGCCGTTGTTCTGGCCCGGCAGTGCCGTCCTCTAGAGCGACAGTGCCGCAGGGTGAATTTGATAAATGTTTGAGTGTTTGTTTTGACAGGCATTTTGATAAACACTGTGCAGCATCAGATGGAGTTAAGCTAAAGCCATTTTGTGCAATGGAATATTAGCAGGTTTCATTATCCTGTGGTACAGAAATGGTCTATTGTAATTTTATATATTTGTGTGGCAGCTTTCATTTTCACTGTGGTTGTTGTAAAGATTTTCCATTATTCTGCTTTGTCATGCAAACATCCTTCTCACATTTGTTCTTTTTGCCATAATCTTTGCTGATTTAGATTTTCTTTTGTCTTTCCATAAATAAAGAAAATAACAAAGACCCATCTTATTTGACAGAGAAAACGGGGTTCTACCAAAGATTATGTTGCCTTGTATGCAGTGCAATGCTATAAGTGCTACAAATGGAGTACAGTTCCAAAAGAAGAATTTGAGACACTTCGTGAGAACTTCACCAAGGATCCATGGTTCTGCAGCAGACGACCAGACTGCTCTTGTGAAGATGTTGCTGACATTGAGTATGACAGCAGCCGCATCTGGGTTTTGGACAATCCCAACATACCAAAGCCTCCACCAGGGACGGAGAGGCTAGTGATTATGAGTGACTACAGCAAAATAGACACATATTATGTCATGCCCAATGGGAAGCGTGCAAGGTGTGCTGGTGATGTGGATAAGTTTCTGGAGGCAAATCCAGAGTACAAAAACCGCATATCTGCTTCAGATTTCAGCTTTGCACCACTCAAGGTTGTTGAGGAGACTGTTTCTCACAACTCTGCCTGGAAGGCTGCCAAGGCCAAGAAGCAGGAGAAGGCCGAGGCACAAAAGTGATCGATGCTCTGAACTGTGCCTGTGCTATGTTTAGGTGATAGTCCGCTCAAGATCATGTCCCATCCTATCTAGTAGTTGTCTATCTGGACTGAAGTCAATGTAGGTCTTTTTCGCTGATTTAGCTCTTCATGCTCTGTTGCAACCGAGCCCCTGCGTGTTAATTCCTGGGGAAAAATCTGAGATGAGTGTAGACCTGCTCTTTTATTATCAGCTGCTTAGGCCTTAAGCTGTGCTTCCTTAATTTTTGCTTCAGTTATCCAGTATGTGCATGGTGTTCTCGTTAGCTAGCAGCATAGTAGATTAATGTTGTCTAATCCAGGGCATTCATATTATAGCCATTTGATTGCATCTCATTCCATCGAGCATTACCTGACATCTAGATGACTGTACATAAAGTGTCAGCCGAATCCAATTTCATATAGTGTAGTCATGATAAGAAACTAATAACTGACTAGGAGGGAGCATTGAGTAACAATATAGAACCAAGAATTTTCTTTGACCAGATACTGAGCATTGAGTAACGATATAGAACCAAGAATGTGTGAAGACTAGAATTTCTTTGACCTGATACTGGCATGCCCGAGAGTTCTTTCGACAACGTTGATGGTGTCGCCTTTGGCATGCTAGAGAGTTCTTTCAACAACGTTGATGGTGCACTGGTCGCCTTCAATCATGTTGTCCCTGTGGAACTCCTTCCAACCTTGAGGGTGTGTTTGGATGTCATATAAGGGTATATTTGGATGTATATGGCTAATTACTAGTTATGGCTAAAAATTAGCCTAAATTAGTCGTGGTTGGCTAGCTAGTTGGCTAACGACTAGTTAAAGACTTGACTAAAAAATTAGTCTGTCTATTAGCTCTTCTGTTTGAATGCATTAGAGCTAATTTTGATTAATTCTTAGGTAGCTAGCAATTGGCTTTATCAAAATAGGCCCTTATTTGAAGCGGCGGTGTTGACCGTCCCCGAAGTTTGCCTTCAATGATCTCTTGCTCCTTGCTGATGTTATCAATGTGACCCTACATCTTGTAGGTCAATCGAAGCACATTGTGAATTAGAACTGCACGAGGGTTTAACATAAGACATTTCTGCAGATCGAATTTCCTTTCAGTGTGGTGAAAAAGAACCTCTAGCTCTGTATCCGCATTATCGAGCTCAGGAATCTGTTTGAGGGCAGCAGCAGTAATTATCTTGTGATCAAATGGACTGGCTTTTGATTTGCCATCTGTTTGGCCTGATCTTCAGCGCTGCTTGAGTAGTATTTTTCAGCGAACGAACAATGTTTTTCTCTTATAAAAAATCAGCATAAGCATCAGCATAAGCCAAATTTCAGCAAAACAAACAGTTGCGCTTCTAATTATGTGCTTTCTCTTTTTTTCTCGTAATAGATGATCCTTCAGGTTGCTGCTTCTCTGAGTAATTTTTCTTCAAGAAAAGGTGTGAAATAAAATATACAACTGTGGACATGATTTGCAATCATCTCCACTATTCCAACTTCCGATCAGAGAATTTGCTTACCTGCTTGTGGTCAATCACGTGGTGTTTCTCATCAGCAACACATCTGCTGAAAATGCTGTGCCTTTGTGCTCTTTCTGCATCCCACTTGCCTCGAACACATCCATTGTGAACACCATGTTCCGTTCAGCACTCGACAGCAGAAGGTGGCCATGACTACAAGACAACGCAATATGGGACATTTTCAAGGGAATAATGTGTGTGGCAACTGACAAACCATCTTCTTGGAGAATTCAAGAAGAGTTCCGATGAACTGTGGCCTCACCACCATGTTCTTGCCTGTCAAACGTGTGCACAGAATACAGAAAATACTGTAGGATCAAGTGCCTGTTTAGTTTCCAAAATTTTGCAAAAATTTTCAAGATTCCCCGTCACATCGAATCTTTGGACGCATGCATAAAGCATTAAATATAAATAAAAAATAAAACTAATTACACAGTTTAGACGAAATTCACGAGATGAATCTTTTAAGCCTAATTAGACTATGACTGGTCACTAATTGCCAAATAACAACGAAAGTGCTACAGTACCATTTCTCAAAAAATTTCACCAACTAAACAAGGCCCAACTGCAAGAGTTTTCATAGTTGCTCTTAATCAGATTCAGATTCCTTTAGAACGCTGAATTCTTTTTCTGCTTTCTGTGTCTTTTTATGATTCCTATAGAATTTTATACAATTCATGTGAAATTCCTCCGTTCAAGAGTAGTTATCGGAATACCGGCTGCATGACACTAATGAATACCTATTTCGATTGGCTGATGGCAAAGATATTGGGATGCCAACTCCAACAGTGACAGTACAATACTTGCTGAAACAGTTTCAACAGTACCTGCACAGTACACTGTCCTGTGATCGGGAAAAAAAAAATCACGCATGGGTTCGTGTGCGCGTGCATAATGATGGAAACACCGGGCCATTGTCGTTCAGACAGCAAAGGGAGGGGCTCGCGCCTTTGGACGTGATCGGTCTACTACGAGGCGACTTTGATTTAAACTGTCCGATCTTTTTGAGTTGCAATTATACGTGTTTTTTAATATCATTTGATATTTCATAAGCTCTTCCCTGTAGGCAGCTTTCTAAGGCGCTCTCCTGTTTTTCTAAAAGACCGATATATAGGGCATGTGGTCATTCCAAGACATCCATCCACTGGATTCGAGGCACCTAGCCGCTGTGATTTAACACGCGCACCATTTTTCAAGTGAGCATTACATGCGGTCTTAAGTCCTGAATGAGAACTTATGATCACCTAGGTGTAGATCAAGAGGATATGTTCTTAGAAAAACAAGTAGTTCGTCCTAGAACTTGAACTAGAGAGAGAGGGGGAATAAAAGGGCTGACCATCGGGCTTGGAGGAGCTAGAAGCCATGGCGTCAGTGACGACCTCAGTGAGTGAGTGGCGGTGAAGATAGGTTTGGTAGCCCGGGGCGGCGGCGGCGTGGTGAAGTATAGAGGGCGACGGCGAGTCAACGAGAACGGTGGCGGCGCTTCCCGACGCTGCTGCGCACCTGAGCCGCCGGCCCCACCTCTTTATATAGAGTGTGACGGGGGGCCACCAACCATGTAGGGTTGGACGCCCCCGATCAGGACGCGAGATCAAGGACTTCGACTTGGTCGTTGGACCGAGTCGGATGAGATCTATATTAACATTCTCCACCTTGATCTCATCTTATACATTAAACTTTAGACTTAAACTTAACATTTAACTTGGTACCCATTTCGTTATAGATCAGTGTACAAGCGTGCCTCGTCATGACAGTTAGTACAGTCAAATTAACAGCTACAATTCATCTTTCTATTTTGAAACAGATCTTTAACTAGGCCCTTATAATTCAGTGATCATAGGCTTTCCTGTAAACCCACGCCGGCTAAGTGTTCTCTGAACACGTTAGGCGATAAGCCTTTTGTAAGCGGATCCATGAGCATTTTCTTTGTACTTATATGCTCGAGACTAATAGAATGATCCCGGACTTTGTCTTTCACAACATAAATTTTTATGTCAATGTGTTTGGCAGCACTACTTGACTTATTGTTGTGAGCATAACATACTGCTGGCTCATTGTCACAGTACAACTTGAGTGGCTTATGAATATCGTCGACCACTTTCAACCCGGACATAAATTTCTTTAGCCAGTTCACCTGCCCCGTTGCCTCATAACATGCTACAAACTTGACATACATCGTGGACGATACAGTAACTGTTTGCTTGGAGCTTTTTCACGATATAGCTCCTCCTACAAGAGTAAATACATAGCCTGATGTGGATTTTTTATCATCTATATCTCCCGCGAAATCTAAATCTGGATACCTCTCTATATAAAGGGAATCAAATCTTCTGTACGTTAGCACGAGGCCTTTTGTGCCTTGCAAATAACGCAAAGCTTTCTTTACCATTCTCCAGTGTTCTATTCCTGGATTACTCTGATATCTACCAAGTATCTTGGTAACAAAAGCTAAGTCAGGGCGTGTATATACTTGAGCATAATGTAAGCTTCCGACAGCTGAAGCATATAGAACCGCTTTCATTCGATTGATCTCATATTGGTTCCTGAGACATTAGAATTTCCCAAAATTATCGCCCTTGACTATGGGAGCAGGTGAAGGTTTATACGCATGCATACTTTATTTCTTTAGAACCTTTTCTAAGTATGCCTTTTGCGATAATCTTAAAACCCCCTTTCTTCTATCTCGGTGAATCTCTATTCCTAATACGAACGAAACTTCACCGAGATCTTTCATGTCAAAATTTGAGGACAAGAACTTCTTTGTCTCTAGTAGTAGATTAACATCACTACTAGCGAGTAAGATGTCATCCACATATAGGATTAGGAAAATGAATTTCCTATTCTTGAACTTTGTATAAATGCAATTGTCCTCTACATTCTCTTTAAACCTAAACTTTCTTATTGTTTCATCAAACTTTAAATACCACTATCTAGAGGCTTGTTTTAATCCGTAAATGGATTTCTGCAGGCGGCATCCCATACGTTCTTTTCCTTTTACGACAAAACCTTTTGGTTGTGACATATAAATATTTTCATCCAAATTCCCGTTAAGGAAAGTCGTCTTTACATCCATCTGATGTAATTCTAAATCGTAGTATGCCACTAACGCCATTATGATTCTAAAAGAATCCTTACATGAGACTGGAGAAAATGTCTCATTATAATCTATTCCTTCTCTTTGCGTGAAACCTTTCACCACAAGTCGTGCTTTAAATCTTTCAACATTCCCTTTGGAGTCATATTTAGTTTTGTAGACCCATTTACAGCCTACTGTTTTGGCTCTTTTAGGATTTTTTTCTAAGTTCCAAACATCGTTGGTACTCATTGATCTTATTTCATCTTGTATGGCTTCAAGTCACTTAGACAAGTGAGCGCTTCTCATGGCTTCTTCAAACGAGGTGGGATCACCCTCCATTTAAAATTCTTCACATTCATAGACTTCGTAGTCATCAGGAATGGCTGGTTTTCTGGCTCTTTAAAACCT